CTTATGGTAATCATATTGTATTTTTAATGCCTTGCGCCTCGATTACTTAGGAGCTGAGAAGCGGCAAGTAGCATTGAATGAAAATTTCAAATATGTTTCACAAGTTAATTTGCAAAGTATGCCTAAATTATGTCACAATATCACGTATTGTTCTAAATTGCTTCAATAATTATTAAAATATGTATAATAAATGTATTGGAGTTTGAAGTTTGTAATTGACTTAAGATATTTGAGGTTATTCTCAGTCAAAATCAGTTGCGTACATAGCAACAAAACTATTATTGCCGTCGTCAATGTGTTAAGATAGTTTACCCACATTTTAATATTCACTTTCATATATTGATATTTTCTTATACAAGGCGAAGAGAATTTGTGTTTTTTTTTAACTCTAAATGTATTTTATATTAGTAAGACTAATTATTATATAAGAATTCAATTGTACTTAACGTATGTACAATTATAATTTTGCTGCGGATGCGCCGGAGATGCTAATGAAAAGTGTTCATCATTAAATGCATTTTGTTTAATGGCCAGTTAGGAGAGAGATAGAGAGAGAGATGATGTACGTACAGATGTTTAGTATACTTGGAAACCATTAGGAGGGATTATACAATGTTAAAATTAATGCGGGGTATTTACTCGTGTTTATTTTTGCGCACGGAAGAACCGCCGCCGCCCTTCCGTCCGCTCCTTCGCTTTGCGTGCGTTTTTCATTACATAATGAAGCGTTAAAACGCCGGCTGCCCGTGTGCACGTATGTGCATTAAAGTTTTGAATTACACCCAATGCTTTTAATGACCCCGACATTAAATCTTAAAACCAACCCCCCCGTATACACACACACATATACATGTATAGAAAACTGTAGCTTTAATTCCTACTTTAACTTTACAATGAAATTTGACTCTAATTGAAATTTGTATTTCTTTTCTCTTCTTCTATATACCCGGCGCATCCACTATATTTGACGGATCACCTACTTGTGCTTTGGGCTGCATACGTTTACCTACGGTTATCTATGTGGAATTTATTTAAAATAATGCGGGTTTCGCGATGTCGACGAATGCGGCAAGAGTATCGGCGCTGTATTTAGTTCACGCGAAGAATGCATTAGGGTATGGGTTTTTAATGAATGGTATTAATTAAACGCGCGCGCGTGTTTATACCTATATACAGGGGTGGTCGGGGTTGTTGCCGACGTACACCACCCCCTCAGTTCTCTCGTTCTCGCTCTGGCACACGCCGGCTGCAAAATAGCTTTGTATTATTATTCATGAGGCTCGAACTTAATTTAAATTATATCTTGGAAATACACTTTAAAGAAATTAATTCGCTTTTCTTGCAGCCCCGCTTTTCCTTGAAAATATAACGTCCCTACATATTCTCCCTGCGTTCATTACATCCCCCCTCTCTCTCTCTCTCTCTAACACTTACACAATTGCATAACGCGACGAATCTTTCTCTCTCTCTCTCTCTCTAACACCGAGCGCGCAAAACTATAATTAGATTTAGGTTTTAATTCAATTACCGGTCCAGACTTCTTTCGCAATCCTTGATTACGTCGCGTGCAATGCGACCCAATTCCACCGCCGACACAAGTGTTGCATACTTGCAACCGCACCAACAATTTGGCAACCCTAATGTCATCGCTCCTGTCACTTTGGTTACATTTACAGCAATAATACAAATTACATAATCAATTTTTTTTGTTGCGCTACAGCTGCGGTAATAACTCTCCCATTTCGCTCGGACATTATTTTCCGGCTGATTAGCGTTGATTGTGTTCGTAGACGGGCAATAAAACCGTAAATAAAAACCCCTGCGCTCCACTCCGACTTTCACTCTGCGTTAGAGTGGATGTGTGTGTGTGTGTGTGTGTGTGGATAAATGTGAATCATTAAATGCTTCTACCAAATGGACTCGAGTGGAGTTTTCAGTAAAGTGGTTTGTTTGAAAGCTAAAAGCAACTGAATGAAGCTCTTACGTTGATGGCCGCTTGTAAAATATTGCAAATATTATTTTATTGTCCGACTGTCGAGCAGCGCCGTAAGCATAACCATCCTCCCCCGACCCCTTTTTCCAAACCACCTTCGCCCAACTCCCGCGAATCACTTAGTCACTACTTCGCACATTCATCGTGTTCCGAATATACACATACACACATAAAAAACGCATTAGTCTTATTAAAATGTGGGTAAAAATTATCTATTTCACTAATAACACTCGAGCGTTTCACTTGAAATAATTCGAAATGATTTTATATATTATTCATTGTTATTATGAACACGATTTTGAATGAACACGAAATGAAAATTAACAATTTAAGTAATAGTAATTTAGAAATTGTCAATTGTTTCATAACAACATAATTTATATAAAATTGTTTGAAATCTATTAATCTCAGTTCGTTCAAATTTCAACTGTATTAATTGATATCTGTGAATTATTTCAATCGAATTAAATTAACTACTCATTACACGTTACTTGTTTGTTCAAAAATTTAGTACTTGTAAAAATAAAAGTTACGTGGCAAGTAGTGCGTAATAGGCAGCCAGCTTTACACGCTGCAATTTCAACAGGTTTATGGAATTGCACTGTGTAAAATGAGATTAATTAACTACTCATTACATGTTACTTGCTTGTTCAAAAATTTAGTACTTGTAAAAATACAAGTTACGTGGCAAGTAGTGCGTAATAGGCAGCCAGCATTACACGCTGCAATTCCAACTGGTTTATGGAATTGCACTATGTAAAATGAGATTAATTAACTACTCATTACACGTTACTTGCTT